GAATGAGTGAGCCTCTCACCTTCTGTCCTCCTGCAGGGAGCGCCCCTCGGTGTCAGAGGAGTCCCCTGGGGCCTGCAGATCAGAGAGAGTCCGGACACAGGCTTTTCTTCCAAAGGAAGTCCCTGACCTTCTCCCCTCCCTGCCTTCTTTGGCACTGGTACTGTGTATTGTAAAATCTTGGTGTATTTTTAGATCCAACGTACTCTATAACATTAATGCTGATGGTTCAACTCTCTGGAACTCTTAAATGGAGCATGAAAGAAAATTTTAATAATATTGATTGTTTTAACATATCCTGAAAAGCTGACAGAGACTCTTAGAGAGAATATAAAACATGTTTGGTTTAGGGATTACCTTGTAGGACCGTTTGCATTCCTTTCATATTGTGTTCTTGTTTTCGCTGCCTGCTGGCCCCTGCTGTGGAAGCCCCTCACCAGAGCCACTGGGCCAGGATGGTCCCCTCTGTCCTCCTCCTGCAGAGGGGACCCCTCATTCGCTCCTGGCAAGGCTGGAAGCCGTGTGGTCCGAGGCCAAAAGAACTTTCCAGATTGACTTGGTTCTCAAGTTTTCCTAGTTTTAGGAGGGTGAATGACGACGTTTCCCCAGGGAGATTCTAGGGCCCTCTGTCCCCTGGCCCTGGGCTTCCTGTGTTGCTGTGGTGCGTGACGGTTGCTTCTGTAACAGAGCCCAAGGCCCATGGCTTCCTTGTCCCTTGGAGGCTTCCAGGCAGAGGTGGCCTTCACGAGTGACTTCCGCCAGTGGAGGCCATTGGGTCAGGTGGGCACCGCCCCGGAAAACAACACAGGCGTCACTCCAGGGTCGTGGGGCAGAGTCACTTGACCCTAGAATGCCAAGGGGGGCAGGCAGGAAGACTGCACGCTTCACTGAGTGTGCCCGTCCTTCCCATCCCAGAATCTGAAACAGATGGGAGGGCGTGAGCCGAGGGGCCAGCATCTTCCAGACGTGGGAGAACAAGCAGCCTCCTAAGCCCTCAGATGTGCAGCCGGGGGCTGTGCAGGCCGTGTGACTGTGCCTGTCGTTTGATTTTGCTGAGAGGTCCAGATGCAACATGTACTTCCTCAGGAAGTCATGAAATTTGTGACATTGCCTCTAGCATGTTAGGTCACCAGTGAAATTGGAATCTGAGCAGCCCATGTAGTCTATGCGCCCCTTTCACACACAGTGACTCACGGCGGAGAGCTAGGGTTTGCACGCCTGAATGCTGTTATCATGAGCGGTTTCATCTCCATGGTTACACCGGTTGGACAGGTCCTTTGGGCATCCCTTGTATCTTTTTAGCAGTGGCCTTGCGCAGCTTCCCTCCCTCCACGTGCCGGCGTGAAATCCCGTGAGGGCTCTCGTGGAATGGAAATTGTTTTGAAGTAGATTTTATTTAGCAAAGTAGCCATGCATCTTATGATTTCTGTTCAGCATTCTAAAATGTGTTTGTTGTTTTTAAAAATAAAAGCATTAACATAAATGCCAGGCCACCCAAAATGTGACTCACAAATCATGGTCTTAAGAACACCTTGTGTTCTGAAAGACTGACCATAATTTAGATGTTCATGGAATTATCATTCTTTCACATTGCCTCGTAGGGCCAGAAATAGTAATAAAATTTCCTGTAAGAATAAAGCAGATAAAGTTTTATACAAAACCAAAGCCATACATGTTTTGGTCTGCGATTTTTTTTTTTTTTAATTTTTGCTTTGAATACAGTATAAGTTGGAGGGGGAGGGGAAGGTGGCTTCAGCCCTTCAGGTCTCATTTCAGATTTTCTCCAGTGCTTGTCAAGACTGGAAGTGTTGTGCAGGGCAGGACAGCTCACTGGTTACCCTCACACACTGGAGCATAAGAGGCAACTTAACGCCAACACACACATAGTCATGGCCTGTCGCCTCTTATCTGGGGTCCCCTGTAATTAAGGCATTCACTGATAGCTTATGGGAACAGGTCCAAGAAATTCGTTTTTATAGCCTCCATCAAATTGAATAAAGATAAGCTTCTGAGATTGTGTCAACATTTCAAAAGAGAAAAACCCAGAATCCCCACAGAGCCATTTTCAGCTTCAGTCCTTTGGTTCCCTGCTTAATCTGATTTTTCAGAGAAACTACCCTAAACCTGAAAGTAGAAAATTCACACTACTTGAGGCTGTTTTTGAGTTTCCTCCAACTATGCCTGGGTGATTGGTGGACATTTCCTAAAGGGACTCTACAAATAAGTGAGTCTTAGCCCAGTTGATTATTCCTTTTGATGTCAGCAGGAATGCAACCACGATTAGCACCCTTAAAAGAACAGAGATGTGTTTCTGAACCTGGCTCGGCAGCAGCAAGGTTGTCAGGGGGCTGACCCAGGACCCCAGAGGGACTTGGAGCTGCCTTACCCTCTGGGCTTTTCTGGTTTGGGGGCTAACCTGGTTATTGACTAGCTCTCTGATCAGCTCCAGGTCATCCAGTCATTACTGCATACCTGTTGGGGAACACTTCCCCCAGCGTGTGTGCACTAGTGTGCTGTGAGCGGAGGTGCACAGTGTCATGGCACTGTTGTTTGCAGTGGCCATTTAAGGTTCATTAAATGGATCCCACCAACACCCCCAACAACAAACAACAGTAAGTGGGTGCCTACTCCTCTATTCATGGGTTCTAAGATGCCCATTTATTAATGTTTTGACAACTCTGAAATCGGGATAGATCTAACAATTGATGATGTGTCATTGATTAGTACCATTCTTTATTTCTTACTGTGGGATTTGCAATTGATGTAGTGGTAGATGAAATACAGTCTATATCAGGATCAGTCTACATGCTCAATGTGAAGCTCTGGGCTGTCCCCACAGAGGTCCAGGGGGCTGGGGAGACATGTGAATAAAGAACCACAAGAAGCATGTGTTAAGTCTCACAAAAGAGGCACAGAATCAGCCCTTCATGGGAACCCAGGTAGGGAGTAATTACCCCTCACCTGGGGCCCGGACAAGAGGTGGTGACAGCTGAGCTGTGCATTGAGGTCTCTCAGTCCTTGTATTTGTGCGTTCTAGATGAACCTTCTGGATCTAGGTTAAAAATTTTGACCTCATCTTTTTGGATGTCTCTGAGTGGTCACCAATATCCAGATTGTGAAGCAAAACTGTGCACATGGATTGATTTAAAATGTTAGGAGGTTATGAGAGTGTTTTCTGAAAATTGCCTAAAATGTGAGTCAGAGAAAGAAACAGATCCATAATCTCTGGAGTTTGTTTGGACTATTGTCAATGTCCCCATTTCCAAAATACAAAATTAAGAACAGCTTACTGTCTTGGAGGCACTTGTTCAGATTTAACTTTATAAAGTAAGTATCTCCAGATGCAATTGTTTCATGCAGAAGGTCTCCATGGCAATGGAGCTAAGACTTGAGTATGTTGTTAAAAATATAGACTTCACATGATCACCTACTATTAATAGCAACGCTTTTATTTTTAAGAAACTGTTATCACCTGAAGCAGAATATAGGTGTAAGTTTTACTTCACACTCAAAACATAGCCTCTAACAAAGCTTATTAACTAAATCATTCATCTCACACCCCTTCGCATTCTGTCCACTGTACCTGTGTCTATCATGGTTTAAAACTTGGTTCCTTCTAAGGAACTTGCAGGTGTGTGTATGTACCATCGTGTGTGTATCTTTTAATGTGTTGGCAGCTTTGTATGATGGAAGTTGAAGCTGGGTTCTAGTTTCAACCCTGGTATTAGTATGTTATGTGAAACCTCTCGCTCAGCTTTGGCATTTGTGAGATGGGCATGGTGGTTCCTATCCCCAAAACTATGGCTATGGTCATTAAATGAGATGACAGCTGGCTGTTTGTGGCACCTGGTGGGCATTTGAACGCGTTAGTTATCTTTCTCTCCAGCTTTTGTCACCTGCTTGGATTATTTTCCTTGCATTTTTAATAGTAATTTTTATGTTAGAAACGAACTACAAGAGCATTTTGTTGTTGAATGTTCTTTAATTCAACAGTCAAGCTTTAATTGAATTAAAAAATCACTTCTTTGGGCCTGCCCGGTGGCACACTGCTACAGTGCGCCGCTTGAGAGCGCAGCGGCGCTCCCGCCGAGGGTTCAGATCCCACATACAGACCGGTTCCCGCTCACTGGCTGAGCAAGGGGTGGACGCAGCACTGAGGGTTGCGATCCTGTTGCCGGTCCCGGTCCGGTACGGGCGCGACACTGAGGGTTGCGGTCCGTTGCCGGACACGAAAAAAGACAAAAGGAAAAAAAAAAAAATCACTTCTTTAAGATTTGGGCTTAAAAATCAGCTCATTCATTTTCTCTCTCTCTGCAGAAGTGTGTCTCTACGTCCCTGATGTAAATCATATTAATTCAAACATCAACCTCAATTTGAAAGTGTTCTTGTCTTTAAAGGTATTTTCTCTTATTTCCAGGGTGGATGTGCTGGCTCTGGCTGTGGAAAATGTGACTGCCAAGGAGTGAAGGGACAAAAGGTAAGCAGCTGAAAATTAAACATCAATGTCTTCTGAATAGCCATCACCAGAGACACCATTAGAAACTGATACATTAAAATTAACCGAATAATCTGCGATTTAAGTTAAAGCCTATCAATGTCTTAATAATTTCCTGAGAGGAATACAAATGAAGCAGAACCAGGCTTAGCATGATTTCTGAATAACGACATTATTATGATAGCTGTTCCTCCAGAGTCATAATAATTCGTGTCAATTAATATAGAAAAAGGGATTTGGCTTATTTACCTTTTTTGGCTCTGGAAGCAACAAGTGTATTTAAAAAGAAAATCTGCTAAATCAAAGGTACATTTTGGAATTGATATATAAGACCACATTGAGCATGTTTCTGAAAAAAAGAACATTGTCAAAGGTCAAAATTGCAACAAATTAAAAAATCTCAATTGGCATTATTGCGACTCTAGAATCAGGCAACAGTTCATTCCACAAAATAGAATAAGTGTTCCAATGAGCTGAGCAAAAGAGGTTTTAAAGACAGAAAAAAAAAAAAGGCTGAAGAAAGCAGAAATAAAGAATAAAAAGCAGATCATTTCAAAGTCATTCTCCTTGTAAGGTGCGGACAGGGAGAGGGAACTTTAGAAAAACAACTGATTAGTTAGCATCAGGCTATGTCCGGCTACTGCTTTTGTGCACGGATTAAAGCAGAGGGAGCTTCATTAGCATGCCTATTGAAGATTCAAACTGGCCTGTTTGGGAAATTGGCTGTTATCTCTCACTTGACTTCTAGGAAGGTCAGACAGCAACTTAGTTTAGGTTTGGTGACCTGGAACTTTAGCAGGGGTGACTCCAGTCTGATTTTTCACTCTGGTGTGCTGGGGCCTTGTACAGGAACTTAGCACAAAATGATGGCCTCCTGTACCTTTTATTTAACAAACTTGAGGGCATTCTATTTAAAGTAGCATTCTTAAACAATTCTGTAACCATCACATACAAACCGGTCTAGATTTATTTATAAAAATAGTACGTATTTATTGTTTCCCCAATGTAAAATTATAATATATATATTTTTCTAAGCAAGCTCCCTTTCTCCCTCTCTTTAAGAATCACAGATCTAGACAGAGAGAATTTTCTCTGGAAGTCCATTTGTACGTATCTGTGCATTTCAGTTGGCTCGAGGGGGCGTGCCTGTCTGGGTTTTACCCACAGGCCCGGGCAGTCCTGATACTGCCTGAGTCACCGTGGAAACCAGGTGTGGCGGTGCAGAGACAGCAGACTCAGGACAGCTGGGCCCTGTGGAACGCAGTGTGCTCTGTGGACCACTCCCTGTTTTCAGGGAGCTTTAGCGAATTCTACTTTACAGAAAATTGTTTCTTTTTTTTTCTAGCTACTCTCTCAAATGCCAACATTATTGTTCTTGAAAATATGCCTGAGAGGTGGTGGCACTAGGTGTTACCTGGATAGTGTTTGAATGGAGGGAATATGTGAAAATAGTTTATTTTGCTCATTATCAACCAGAGTTCAGCAATTCATCTTCATGTGGTTTGTTCTTTTACTTGGGAAATTTTCCTAGCTAGTTCCAATGTGCGATTTCGAGAGTTATTTTAAAGTAGAGGCAAGTATTTTTCATTCCCTGAAGACTTTTTAAAAGGAAGATCTAACCTGAATTGTACACGGGAGCACACTGAACTAATAAAGAAGTCCTTGAGACTAGAAGGGACAGGACTGGGGTCTCGGTGGGAGGTTAAGGCCTGGCTGTCCTGGAGAGGCTGGGCAGGGTTAGGTCTCCCATCCTGAGGGACTCTCTTGACTGCCACCCCTTTCCAACCACAATGCAGATCTGGCCCAGTCCCTCCCTGGCTCTGGTTTCTCAAACTTTCCAATTGGGTACACACCTATAAACTTTTTTATGTTTTTTAGCCTCATTAATTTTGATTTTTACCCAAAAAGTCACCTGTCAAAATATAGCAAGATAGATTTATCCAGGCATGGCTTCCCGACATTTTTGGCTGACCTCGTAAGTTGATGGCCACTGGTCGGAGAATTAAACCACTTGCATTCAGAACTGGCTAAACGTCATCAGAGAAGGCAGCACACCAGGGGTCAGGGGGCAGTATCGAGCACCTGATCCCAGAAGGAATGGGTCTTTAAATGTTTTATTTCAAAATTGCCCCTCTAGGAAACCCTCACAGTGGGCACTGCCTGTGCCTTCTGCTTGGGACAGGGGCTTCGGGGGAGGCGAGCCTGGGGGTAGCAGCTGTGTCTTGAGTTTGTGCTACTTTCTGTCTTGTGGTGAGGTTTCCTGCCAGCCTCCTGCTGTGACCAACGTAAGCCGTGAACCTGGAAAACACCAGGGCTCCCGCAAGGGACTCAGGTGCAGGAACCGGCACCTCCATGAATGATCTTGGCCTGAGCTGGCTCCTCAACACCCAGTCTTCTCCACCGTCCACTTCAGATTTTTAATTTTATTTTCCCATAATGAATATTTAAAATAAGGGAGGGAGGTTTCGGTGATGGGCCATAATAATCAACCACATTGTATATCAACAAAGTAAAAATTAAAAAAAAAAAAAAGAATATTTAAAATCAAATACTGGCAAGCTATAGGTTAAGCTATTCTGAATTTGTGTTTTAAAAGACTATATTTATTGAATGGATTCAGAAAACCTCTTGAAATCTAGGGCAATAGCCAAATGGTTTAGTACTATATCATTTTAACAAATGTAGAGATCTGTCTTTTCTCATCTTGAGCGTAAACATTTTGGGTCCTGTGGTTCACACAGCATCGAGAAGGGTTAAGGGTCCTTCCTCCCACTGGAAAGAAATTTTAAACTTCCACATATTGTCTTGGAAGTGCTGTTAAAATAATCCACTTGATGATGTGAAACGCCTGGAGCTCAACCGAGCTAGAGTTTCAGATGTGGTTCCATTTCTGTCATCCCGAAGTCAGCGAACAGATTTATTCTAGGCTGAAATGTCAGTGAGAGAAACTCATCTTCTCCAACTGTTCCACCTTCCATGTTCTCAGAGGGTCAGGTCCCAGAAACGCTAATCTAGTGTGAATGCAAAAGGAATGAAAGGTTTAGAATCACAGAGTGTAAATCTGATGGTTTACACCATAGGCCTGCTTTTGAGCTAGTAGTGAACGTCTTCAGTTCTCACGGGAGTTATTTTGATATTCTCAAATGTTTACAAATTTAATTAATTTTGCTTTGTTGTTTTAAAAAATAGGATCGTAGGAGACACTTAACTCAGAGAGAGTGAAAGTTACCCAACTGGGATAGAGTGTCACAGCCTTAGAAATTTGGAAATCATTGCTTCTGAGACATATTTTTCCACATGTCTTTGACAATATAATTTACAACCCACCAATACCCTCAATGGAATATTTCCAGTATAAATTGCCAAATCTCTGTTGGCTAAGTCCTGCTTTCCATGAAGATGTGATTAACGAATTGAATGGGTTATAATCTCCACATATTATAAATAAATTTTAATGCAACTTATCATCACTTTTTTTATAATCTCANAAAAAAAAAAAAGGCTGAAGAAAGCAGAAATAAAGAATAAAAAGCAGATCATTTCAAAGTCATTCTCCTTGTAAGGTGCGGACAGGGAGAGGGAACTTTAGAAAAACAACTGATTAGTTAGCATCAGGCTATGTCCGGCTACTGCTTTTGTGCACGGATTAAAGCAGAGGGAGCTTCATTAGCATGCCTATTGAAGATTCAAACTGGCCTGTTTGGGAAATTGGCTGTTATCTCTCACTTGACTTCTAGGAAGGTCAGACAGCAACTTAGTTTAGGTTTGGTGACCTGGAACTTTAGCAGGGGTGACTCCAGTCTGATTTTTCACTCTGGTGTGCTGGGGCCTTGTACAGGAACTTAGCACAAAATGATGGCCTCCTGTACCTTTTATTTAACAAACTTGAGGGCATTCTATTTAAAGTAGCATTCTTAAACAATTCTGTAACCATCACATACAAACCGGTCTAGATTTATTTATAAAAATAGTACGTATTTATTGTTTCCCCAATGTAAAATTATAATATATATATTTTTCTAAGCAAGCTCCCTTTCTCCCTCTCTTTAAGAATCACAGATCTAGGGGCCAGCCCGGTGGCGCACTGGATAGTGCGCCGCTTGGGAAGCGCGGCGGCGCTCCCGTCCGAGGGTTCGGATCCCACATATTCTGTAACCATCACATACAAACCGGTCTAGATTTATTTATAAAAATAGTACGTATTTATTGTTTCCCCAATGTAAAATTATAATATATATATTTTTCTAAGCAAGCTCCCTTTCTCCCTCTCTTTAAGAATCACAGATCTAGACAGAGAGAATTTTCTCTGGAAGTCCATTTGTACGTATCTGTGCATTTCAGTTGGCTCGAGGGGGCGTGCCTGTCTGGGTTTTACCCACAGGCCCGGGCAGTCCTGATACTGCCTGAGTCACCGTGGAAACCAGGTGTGGCGGTGCAGAGACAGCAGACTCAGGACAGCTGGGCCCTGTGGAACGCAGTGTGCTCTGTGGACCACTCCCTGTTTTCAGGGAGCTTTAGCGAATTCTACTTTACAGAAAATTGTTTCTTTTTTTTTCTAGCTACTCTCTCAAATGCCAACATTATTGTTCTTGAAAATATGCCTGAGAGGTGGTGGCACTAGGTGTTACCTGGATAGTGTTTGAATGGAGGGAATATGTGAAAATAGTTTATTTTGCTCATTATCAACCAGAGTTCAGCAATTCATCTTCATGTGGTTTGTTCTTTTACTTGGGAAATTTTCCTAGCTAGTTCCAATGTGCGATTTCGAGAGTTATTTTAAAGTAGAGGCAAGTATTTTTCATTCCCTGAAGACTTTTTAAAAGGAAGATCTAACCTGAATTGTACACGGGAGCACACTGAACTAATAAAGAAGTCCTTGAGACTAGAAGGGACAGGACTGGGGTCTCGGTGGGAGGTTAAGGCCTGGCTGTCCTGGAGAGGCTGGGCAGGGTTAGGTCTCCCATCCTGAGGGACTCTCTTGA